AATAACTTAGCAAAAAAAAAAAAAAAGAACAAAGTTGGAGGACTCACACCACTTTATTTCAAAACATATTATAAATCTACAGTAATCAAAATGGTATGGTACTGCCATAAAGACAAATATAGACCAATGGAAAAGAATACAGAACCCAGAAATAAAACCTTGCACATATGATCAAATGATCTTCAACAAGCATGCCAAGACCACTCAATAAGGAAAGGAGAGTCTCTTTAACAAATGAGGCTGGGTAAACTGGAAATCCACATCACATACAAAAATAAATTCTACCTCTTCGTGTCAGCAACCTGAGGTGACCTCTAAAAATGGTTCGCTATTTACTTTATCCAGAAAACCTCTCAAAATCATGCAAATCAAGAGGTTCAAATCATCATGTTTACTTTATTTTTTTTTAATATATTTTATTGATTTTTTACAGAGAGGAAGGGAGAGAAATAGAGTTAGAAACATCGATGAGAGAGAAACATCGACCAGCTGCCTCCTGCACATCTCCTACTGGGGATGTGCCCGCAACCCAGGTACATGCCCTTGACCAGAATCGAACCTGGGACCTTTCAGTCCGCAGGCCGACGCTCTATCCACTGAGCCAAACCGGTTTCGGCCATCATGTTTACTTTAAGAACACTCATGAAACTTCCCAGGCCATCAAGGGTATGCATATCTGAAAAGCCACTGAGTATCTGAAGAATGCCACTTTACAGAGGAATCTGTACCATTCTGTCATTACAATGGTGAAATTGATAAGTGCTCAGGCCTAAGAGTGGGGGTGGACACAGGGTTGGTGGCCCAAAAAGAGTGCTAAATTTTTGCTGCACACGCAAAAAAATGCAGAGTAAGGCTGAACTGAAGGGTTTAGATATAGACTCTCTGGTCATTGAGCTCCTCCAGGTGAACAAAGTTCCCAAGATGCAGTGCAGAACTTACAGAGCTCGTGGGCACATTGAGATGATCCTTACTGAAAAAGAGCAGATTGTTCCTAAACCAGAAGAGGTAGGTTGAAAAATAATAATAAAAATAATAAGATATCCCAGAAAAAAATGAAGAAACAAAAAGTTATGGCCAGGAAGTGAATTTAGCATAAAATAAATGCTAATAAAAGTAACAAAATAGCCCTAGCCAGTTTGGCTCAGTGGATAGAGCATCGGCCTGCAGACCGAAATGTCCCAGGTTTGATTGTCAAGAAGGGCACATGCCTGGGTTGCAGGATCAATCCCCACCCTGGTCGGGGCACTTGAAGGAGGCAACCAATCGATGTTTCTCTCTCTCTGTCTCTCCCCCTCCCTTCCACTCTCTCTAAAAATCAATGGAAAAATATCCTCAGATGAGGATTAAAAAAAAGTAAAATAAATAAATTCAAAATAGAGTTAAGACTTAAACTTAAGACTCCAAGATCTAAAACTCATAAAAGAAAACACAGAGGAAAACTTCATGATATTGGATTTGGCAATGATATTTTGAATATTACTCTAAAAACGTGGGCAAAAAAAGCAGATATATACAAAAGGGACTACATCAAACGTGAAAACTTAAAAGGTAACCTATGGAATAGAAAAAATCTTGCAATCATATCTTTGATAAGAGGTTAATATTCAGCCCTAGCTGGTTTGGCTCAGTGGATAGAGCATCAGTCTATGGACTGAAGGGTCCCAGGTTCAATTCCAGTCAAGGGCACATGCCTGGTTGTGGGCTCGATCCCCAGCAGGGGGCGTGCAGGAGGCAGCCAATCAATGATTCTCTCTCATCATTGATGTTTCTCTCTCTCTCTCCCTCTCCCTTCCTCTCTGAAATCAATAAAAATATATAAAAAAAATTTTTTTTAATTTAAAAAGAGGTTAATATTCAGAATATGTAAAGAATTCCTACAGCTCAACAACAACAACAAAATCAAATAGCCAAGTTTAAAAATGGGAAAGGGACTTGAATAGACATTTCTCCAAAGATGATATACAAATGGCCAATAAGCATATGAAAAGATGTTCAACATCAGTAATCAGAGAAATGCAATCAAAACCACAATAAGATATCACCTAACCAGCATGGTTCAGTGGTTGGAGAGTTGGTCTGCGCATCAAAGGGTCACGGGTTCAATCATGGTCAAGGGTACATACCTAGATTGTAGATTCGATCCCCAGCCCTGGGACACAGCCCCTCTCTCTCTCTCTCTCTCTCTCTCTCTCTCTCTCTCTCTCTCTCCTCCTTTCCACTCTCTCTGCAAATCAATGGAAAAAATATCCTTGGGTAAGTATTAACCAAAAAATAATGTATTTTTAATTAGATTAAATTTTTTAAAAAGATATCACCTCACACCCATTAGGAAGGCTACTATAAAAACAATGAGAGAAAAAAAAAATAGCAGCCCTGACCAGTTTGGCTCAGTGGATAGAGCATTGGCCTGCAGACTGAAGGGTCCCAGGTTCGATTCCAGTCAAGGGCATGTACCTTGGTTGCAGGCACATCCCCAGTAGGGGGTGTGCCGGAAGCAGCTGAGAGAAGTTTCTCTCTCATTGATGTTTCTAACTCTCTATCCCTCTCCCTTCCTCTCTGTAAAAAATCAATAAAATATATTTTAAAAAGAAAAGAAATAGCACATGTTGACAAGGATGTGGAGAAATTGGGACTCTTGTGCACTGTTGGTTGAACTGCAAAATGGTGCAGCCTTCATAGAAAACAGAATAGAAGTTAATCAAAAATATAACTACCAAATGGACCAGCAATCCCACTTCTGGATATGTATCCAAATTAATTGAAAGCAGAGTCTCGAAGTAGTAATTGCACATCCATATTCATAACAGCATTATAGACTACAGCCAAGCAATAGCAGCAACCCAAAAATATAATACTAACATACAATGGAATATTATTCAGCCTTTAAAAGGAAGGAAATTCTTTCTCACCAATACAGCTCCTAGGGCATTGGAAACTAAAGAGAAAATAAACAAATGGGACTACATCAAAATAAAAAGCTTCTGCACAGCAAAAGAAACCATCAACAAAACAACAAGAAAGGCCACTGCATGGGAGAACGTATTTGCCAATGTTATCACTGATAAGGGTTTAATCTCCAACATTTATAGGGAACTCATACAACTTAACAAAAGGAAGATAAACAATCCAATCAAAAAATGGGCAAAGGACCTAAATAGACACTTTTCAAAAGAGGACATTCAGAAAGCCAAGAAACATATGAAAACATGCTCAAAGTCACTAATCATCCGAGAGATGCAAATCAAAACAACAATGAGGTACCATCTCACACCTGTCAGAATGGCTATCATCAACAAATCAACAAACGACAAGTGCTGGAGAGGATGTGGAGAAAAAGGAACACTTGTGCACTGCTGGTGGGAATGCAGACTGGTGCAGCCACTATGGAAGACAGTATGGAGTTTCCTCAAAAAACTAAAAATGGAACTCCCATTTGACCCTGTGATCCCACTTCTAGGAATATATCCCAAGAAACCAAAAACACCAATCAGAAAGGATATATGCACCCATATGTTCATAGCAGCACAATTCACCATAGCTAAGATCTGGAAACAGCCTAAGTGCCCATCAGTAGATGAATGGATTAGAAAACTGTGGTACATCTACACGATGGAATACTATGCTGCTGTAAAAAAGAAGGAACTCTTACCATTTGCAACAGCATGGATGGAACTGGAGAGCATTATGCTAAGTGAAATAAGCCAGTCAATGAAGGAAAAATACCACATGATCTGACCATTATAAACTGATGAACAAAAATAGATACAGAGGCAGAGCAGCCTCCAACAGACTGTCAAACTACAGCCGGAAGGCCGGGGAGTGTTGGGGGGCTGGAGGGGGGTGGTAAGAGATCAACCAAAGGACTTGTATGCATGCATATAAGCATAACCAATGGACATAAGACACTGGGGGGTAGGGGAGACTGGGGGATTGTCAAGGGGGGAAAAAAGGAGACATATGTAATACTCTTTGTAATACTTTAAGCAATAAAAAAAAATTTTAAAAAAAGGAAGGGAATTCTGACACAAGCTACAACATAGATGGAACCTTGAGGTCATCATGCTAAATGAAATAAACCAGTCACAAATGAACAAAAACTGTATGTTACCACTTTAGGAGACATCTAAAGTAGTCAAATTCATAGAAACAGAGAGTAGAATGGTGGCTATCAGGTACTGGAAGAAAGGGAAAAGGGTTTTATGGGTAGTGAGTGTCAGTAATACAAGATAAAAAAGTTCTAGAGATCTGTTTCACTACTGAACTGTACACTTAAAAATGGTTAAAATTGTAAATTTTATTTTATGTTTTTTACTATAAAGGAAAAAAGAAAAGAAAAACTATGACTATTATCTGTTGTAAATATAGATGCAAAAATACATAGCAAAATATTAGCAAACTGAGTATATATATAATAATATATAAAAAGAATTTTTAAAAGAGAAAATAAATGGAGTTTTGACAGATGCCAATTGACACACACCTCTATTAGGGGTTCCACAAGAAAAAGTACCCCTAAGAGAATGCTGCCCCAGGTGGCAGCACTGCAGGGACCTCAGAGAATGCCACAGAGGAACAGCCACAGGGACACTCCAGACCCAATTCTTCAAAGGCCAATGCTCAGATCAGGGGATAGGCATTGACAGAAACAAGGGAGATCTGACCCTGACACCAAGAATAATAAAAAGCAAGAAGGCTGGACAGGGGAGGCTCTGGGTGCTTCTGAGAAATGACAGTGGTGCAGCTGAGGGTTAAGTGCTCCTTTTAAGATTTCACAGACCATTGCCAACCACAGTTCTCTATGTAAAAGACAGAAATGACATTCTCTAGACTTCAATTTCTTCAGCTGTGAAATAAGGGGACTGATTCTTATAAGCTCTGATAGTCAGAGTCCAAAATACACATTCCAGACCCTCTAGAGCTGTGTCATACTCAACCCATGACACAAGGGAATTAGTTATATCTTTACTGCAATGCATTCCATTCATCCATTTCTAACATACCTGGCGTGGAAGTTTATTCAGTGACCTCAGATAGTCTTTGTCCAGAATACAATTTCCAAGTGCATTCCCAAAGCTTCTAAGGGTAAGAAATAAAAAGGGAAACAGGGGTGAGAATTGTTACATGTAAGTATCAGAGAACAGAGTTACAACTCTGTGCAAGCTGCTTCTCAACGGCAGCTGAAAAAATAGATCCTAATATGTCTTTAAAACTGGTTATTGAGCATCTGCCATGTTCCTGCACAGTGTTAGGTTGTGAGAATACAGCAGGAGGCATAACAGTCACAAATCCCTGTCCTCAATGAGAGGCAATGAATAAGAAGACTCAGACACCGTTCACAAAACCCCATTAGCTACCTCCTGGCATGGAGCGCAAATTCCAGAGCAGAGATCTTTTATCCTCCAGGACTGCTCCAATTCCCCAATAATGGGACACACCCCCTTAGGGGCTCAATCCTCCATTAAAGTTCTTTACTCAGGATATACTAGTACACACTCCCTTACAGGCTATGGTATTGCAAATTTTTAGTGAATGTTTATACATGTACTTTTCTGGTGATCCAATTCACTTTAAATTTCAAAGGTATTTATGACCCAAAAAGGTTAATAACTAAATTAACTAAGTGAGCCCTGGCCAGTTGCTCAGTGGTTAGAGCATCAGCCCACAGACAGAAGGGTTGAGGGTTCGATTCCCTGTCAAGGGCACATACCTCAGTTGGGGCACATGTGGGAGGCAATTAATCAATGTGTCTCTCTCAAGTCGATGTTTCTCTCTCTCTCTCTCTCTCTTTCTCTCTCTCTCTCTCTTCCCTCTCCCCCTCCTTCCTCCCTTGCACTCTCTCTAGAAAAAAAAATATCCTTGAAGATTTTAATTAATTAATTAATTAACTAACTAAGTGATGTATACACAATGAAGAGGTGTTTAGCTGTGTTAAAGAGAATGAGGAAACTATCTATGTACCCATGTGGAAAGGTCCCCAAATACCTTACTGAGTGGAGGAGAAGCAAGTGCAAAATCAAGTACAAAACAGAGAACATAGTAATCTACTACTTATTCTCAGAAGCAGAGACTTAAGCATAAAATAGCACTGGGAAAATACAAGGAAGAATAGAAAAGCAGGGCAGACAGGGAGTGAGACCTATGTATTTTGATTTTTGGACAACCTATATATATAAAAGCCTAATATGCAAAGTGTCCCCTCGGGAGTTTGACCAACCGGGAGTTTGATTGCTCGCTATGACGTGTGCTGACCACCAGAGGGTGGCGCAAAACGAAGGGAGGCCCCAGCTGGCAGCCAGAAGCCACTAAGTACCCTACCTGTGCATGAATTTTGTGTACTGACCCTCTAGTGTGAATATACTACCTTTTCAAAAAAAACAAAACTGCTTTGAAAAAGGCACTGAAATGAAGTGGTTAGACTTCCAACCCTTTTTGCTTACCTCAGTGCTCGCTTCAGCCCATCTGTCACTGCCTCCTTCCTTGCCTTCTCCAAAGACAAGGCTTTTGACTTGAGGCCCTCACTAACACCATAGCCCACATCTTCATGATATGAACCATCCTGGAGGTAGAAAAGGAGTTCAAAGTCTAACATGAAAGTCTGCAGCTGTGTCTCTGGTTCTACAGCTCTTCTTTTCCTCAAGCAGCAGCGTTCACACTGGGCTCATATAACCCAGGGCCCTGCGAAAGGGCACATGGGCACAGAGAGTTTAAGAGACTCAATTTCCAGTACTATTTCCTAAATCTGATCCGCTTGGAAACGTGACTGTGGTTAAGACAATTCTCCTTTCCCACTTCCTCTTTTACATATCCAACCCACCCAAAATCTCACTAAGATGCACTACCTAAAGGTATAAAAACCTCTGGACACCTAACAAAAGGACAATTTTAAATATTGTATTTAACAGACTCTACTGATTGGACAGCAAATCCTTTCACAAGTCATGTGGTATCCACATCTTGGCCTTCACCACCAGTGAAGATGGATCTGATCAAGTTGTTAGCATACAGAGAACTGAATACAATATCTGATGATAGCAATGTATGATTTTTTGAAATATAACTCAGAAAGCATTCAACGTAATGAGTGATACTATAACAAAACTCTTTCCATTTCCAGTTTACTTATATGACTAAGGCTTTTCAGTACTACTTATAAAATAAAAAGTCAGAATAGAATTAAGGCTGAATGTTCTGTCTAGGAATAAGTAACATTAAATAATGGATATATAAACTAACTAAAAAGAAAAAAAACAGCTTTATCCATCCAAGAAATGCATTTTCCATAAAATTTTATTAAGTATAAAAATTTGGATGGAGTTATGTAGTCTTTTCCACATAAACAAAATTGATTGGTCAATTGTATGTTAATACTACCTATAACAACAACTCAATTCAGAAAAAATTTTTTATTATTTAGATCCTTCAAGTCACTGGAAATTTACCAAAAAAATTTAATTTTATACACACACACATACACACACAAGGCAGAGAAGTATGGTAAAGTTATTAATAAAAAAAGGTTTCAGCCCAGCCAGTGTGGCCCAGTGGTTAAGTGTTAACCCATGAACCAAGAGGTCACTGGTTTAATTCCCGGGTTGTGGGCTCAATCTCCAGTAAGGGATGTGCAAGAGGCAGCCAATCAATGTTTCTTTCTCATCAATGTTCCTATATCTCTACCCCTCTCCCTTCCTCTCTCTCTCTTAAAAAAAAAAAAAAAATTCTATGATAAACATATATTATATTAGGAAAAAAGCCAGCAGAGAAATAGAATGGGAATGAGTTCAAGAAGAAACAATGTAAAATTTCTTATGATTAAAGAATAGCTTGCTTAAAAGTAAAAGAATAGCTTGCTCATGTACTTTTTAATGGATAGTAGTATTTAATACTCTATGATAATTAGAATCATTTGGTACATTATAAAAAGATATAACAGATTTATTTTAGAATGTAAAAGTTTACAATATATTCTTGCAACTACTTGTATTTATGGTGAAACTTTTAAGTGTCAACTTAAAAATGTGCAGAGAACAGAGTTTTTCAAAATTCTCTTAGGGGACACATGGGAAAAAATGTTTGAATACCACCATCTTAAGAAACCCTGACTAAGACCCAGCTCTGGGCCCCATTTGGCAGCTTAGTTGTGCCATACCCCAGAGACTTCCCTACTTGCTATTCTCTCTCACCACCCTCCCCAAACCTTGGAGGCAGCAGGTCTATTTCCTCACCCTCACCTTCAACTGGACTCGCACAAACGCACAGACTCCCACGTAGAACTTCCCGTTGTTAAAGTCAACAAAATCTAGGAGTGGGAAAGAAAACCAGCAGGAGAAGATATGGATCCCCGGGCTTCGTCCATATTCTTCCAGCTGGCAACCAAATACACCTACCCAACATCTTCACCCACAAAATACTTTTATCAGAAATGAGACAATGCCAAGTCAGGGAAATGAAGAGGTCACCATTGCTCACCCACATTCTGCTGTGTGATAGAGTGTGCCCAGCCATTGTAACCAAACATCTCATTGGCCAAATTAATTACCCTGTGACCTTCGATGTAACACACCTAGGAAAAAATTAAAGAAAAAATAGCTTGTTAAAATTTCTTACCATTCTTATATGTAGAACAAAATTTACTTCATTTATTCCTTACCAGGTTTTTGGGAAAACTGCCCTTAAACATTCCAGGAAAATTCTCAGTGAACTTATTTTCAAAGGTCCTTCCTGAAGGAGCCAGTTAGAAGGGATTAGACTCAAGGGTAAAGATATCCACTTGCCTAGGGGTTTCCAAAACTCAGTTTCCAAAAAAGCACATATCTCAGGCTGACATATATTACAGAAGACCCAAAACATACACAAAACTTAAAATGAGAAACAAATGGTAAGAGACACATTTTTAAAGGATTACGTAAAAATCCTATGATGCCAGGTATAAAAGTCTCAGACAACGCTTGGGTCACTTCTGATGACAATGAAGTCTAGAAGCCATCTCTTCCCAAAGACAGTAGGAAACATCAATATCAGTAAACAAGAGACCTTCTGAATCCATGAGGACCCAAAGAGGGAGTTGGCAAGATCATCTGAGAAGTCAGCCCTAGGGGTACCCACTATTCAGGTATAAACTCTCCTACCTTCTGGCCTCCCCCAGCCATGCGGCTACTTATGTATTCTGGGCCCAGCCTCTGCCTCAGAGCACTCTGGATGGCCTGGTACTCCTCTGCTGTGTACTGGTACTACAATCCAGAAGGAAAATTAAAGTCACATTTCCAGCTTTCTTTATATCAGCAAGTCTCCAACTCTTACACACTCCTAAAAAGTATTGTGGACCCTAACAGCTTTTGTTTATGTGGGCTATATCTATTAATATTAGGAATTAAAACTGAGACACTTTTAAGACACACATTCCACTAGCTATCAGAGCAATGATACCACTACATACTACGCAGTCTCTGGAAAACTCCACTGTTCATTCATGAGAGAATGAGACTGAAAAAAGCAAGTAGTATTTTATAATATTATGAAAATAATTTTGATTTTATGGACTTTGAAAAGGTCTGAGAGATCCCTAGGGGGTCACTGAACCACATTTTGAAAACCACTGCCTTATATGTTACTACCATCCCTACAAAACTTTCTTAAGCCAGAATTGAGAAACTAAAAATTCCCACTTCTGAGTCTGCATATAACATTTATGCAGGCAAAGGAGGAGAGCAGAGAAAGCATGACAGGGAGTCATTATTCCATTTTCTTCTCCAAAGTTGTGTATCTCTTCTTCAGTTGAACAATTTCCCACCCTACACAGATAAATATACTACTACTTGTTTGGACTTTTTAAAATATATTTTATTGACTTTTTTTACAGAGAGGAAGGGAGAGAGATAGAGAGTTAGAAACATTGATGAGAGAGAAACATCAATCAGCTGCCTCCTGCACACCTCCCACTGGGGATGTGCCCGCAACCAAGGTACATGCCCTTGACCGGAATCGAACCTGGGACCTTTCAGTCCGCAGGCTGACGCTCTATCCACTGAGCCAAACCGGTTAGGGCTTTTTTGGATTTTTATCTCCTTGGTTGTTTCCTCCTTGCCCCATTTAGATGAAATAAATACTCACAAGCAGATCTCTGGTAAAGAGAAAGACAGAATTTGGGTGGACAAAGCAAGAATCTCTTTCATATGCACAGGGTATCTCTACATAGCATGACACCAGAAATTCTGGCTGCCTCCATAAAAAGAACTGGGTGAAGGTGGGCAGAATGATAGGGAAACAGTAAAGTGTTCACATATCATCTTTGTTTCATTTTGAATGTTGTATCACATGAATATGTAATCTATCCAAAAACCAAATAAAATTTAAAACTAAATGTAATCCCCAGTACTGTTAGTACTTTGATGCTAAAGTTTCAAAATGCCCTGTATTCATAAAAGGCTCCCAAATAATGTATCTAAAGGAAAAATAGCAATAAACAGCTTACACATGTGTACATGATGGTGCTTTACAAATTGCTTCCTCATACCTTTTTCACTTAACCTCATTCTTTGCAAGTGTGAAAAACCCAAACCGTTACCTGTCCAAAGCATAATACAGAGTTGCCACCAGCAGAAGAGGGATGACTGTCACCTCCTCCAAGAATTGCTTCCTCAGTCCCAGACATGTGGATTCTGGTTGACCTCTATATAAACAGAAGATTAAAAAAGGATCTCAAAAAATGCTGAAGTCAAAAGGCAAGAGCCACTACTAAAAAATCAGATAAAACATCCATATGTAAGATTTTACAAGTCACTTTACTTAATACTTCCAAATACTGCCCCAGTCAAGGATTAAATTCCTTGGTGCTTAGCTACGGTCTCATATCCCCTGAAAGTCCTTTAGGGGCTGCTTCTGCTTTCTGCTAAAATTTTTGCTAGGATGATAGTGCTACTAAAGGTGATTTTTATAATGAGAATGTATTCTAATTACATATTATAATGTTTATAGGTGAAAAGTCAAAATTATAAAAACACTCTAAGGGAGAGATATGAACTTATTACTACCTACTACATGTGCAATATGACTCTGGCCTCTGTAGGATCAGCAAAATGCATAAGACACAGTAACAACTGTTTGCCAAGAGCTAACAAGCTAGCTAGTGGGAGAAGACCAACAGACACGAAACATGTAACACAGAGAAGGTAACACACAGACTCCTGGAGCATTAGCCCAGTTTGGTCCCTTCAGCATCAGCTTCACCGGGAACTTGTAAGAAATGTGAAATCTCAAGTCCACCCCAGACCCACTAAGTCAGAAACTAGACATGAGGCCCAGGAATTAGTGCTTACCAAGCCTACCTAATGATTTTGATGCAAGTTCAAGTTTGAGAACCAGTGCATTAGACTGAGGCTATGCAAATTTATAATCCATTAGAAAACAGAATTACTCTCAGAAAAGCACCTGCAACTGGCTAGCCCACTTATCTGACTACTCCTACATCTGTCTCACATCAGAATCAAAGTTGATGCCTCAGAAAATTTATGTATTATAAATCTTCACATTTGCTAATAAAACTACAAATCTATGAACGTCAACAAGTATGATTCTCAACATGGCATCTATATATATAAAAGGCTAAGTGTCCGTCCATCTGACTGGTAGCTATGACGTACACTGACCACCAGAGGGCAGATGCTCAATGCAGGAGCTGCCATAACACACACTGGCCATTTAAAAATAAATGGCACCACAGACCTGGCACCGACAACAACACTTGGCTTCCCCGAAGTGGGACACAGGCCCCACCACCACCCCAGAGAGACACCCCACCAAATCTCAGCCAACGCTGCCAAGACCCCATGGTGCAAAATGTAGCCCACAGCCCAGCCCAGAAACAGTTGCTGTGGGTGCCAGGCAATCACGTCACGTAGCAATGCCCAGCTTCCTCTTCCTAGCAACTAGCCTCCTTGGAGTTTCTTCAGCCCAGGAACCCAACTTGCTTTATAGCCAGGTGCAAACATTTTATAGTTTAACCAAATATTTGTGAAGTGTTTTCATGTGCCTCATCTCATTTGATCCTCACAGAAGTCCTGGAGTAAATAGG